TCTGCAGACCTCGGAGCTGGACGGGGCCTAGAGAAAGCTCCTCTGCCCAGGGAAAGGACGCTTTGTGCCCATTTGGGAGACCAGGAGGCCTGTGTTTTAGGCTCCCTCAACACAGCCCTTTGGCTGTGAGCCAGTGTCCATTACACAGATCTGCAGACTGGGGGCCGCCACTCTCCATGGTCTCCTAACCTCCCACTCAGTGTCAGTGCACGATCCCATCTGGTTTTAGGGGCTTTTTTCATACGTGGAGGAGTTGATTTTGTCGGCTTCCCTCGGCGCTAGGAGCCTGCTGCTTCTCCCCCACAGAGACGAGGCTGTCACACTCCGAGGCGCCCAGGCCTCCGCCTGCAGCACAAGCAGGGGCAGGGGCAGGGGCAGGGGCAGGGGCAGGGGCAGCCTGTTCCCTGCCTGCTGCTCACCCAGTGACCCATGAGGTGGACGCCTGTGTCCCAGCAACAAGGTGACCTAGGCCATGAGTGGGCACAGACTGGCAGAGCCCTTGCCCTGGGCTGACTGGCATTCACTGGCAACAGCAGGTCCTGCCCTCTAGTGACACTCGGTTTAAAGCCCTGTGACTTATGGGTTTACACCTCTGCCTCTTGATGGCGGGTGACAGTGTCTCCCAACATTCGCTGGAACCGTTCAGTCCTTTTGGACCCACAGCACCTGTGGGAAAGGATGCGCACAACTCAGAACGTGGGGACGTCAGCTCGGACCAAGAGCAGCCTCGAGAGGACTGGGCAGGAAGGGGTTGTTCCTCCAGTTTATCTTTTTGGGGAAAAACAAATGGTGGATTTGAAGGCTTGAGGCTAGAGTTCCCCTCAAGGAGTTAAACAGTGGTTTCAGAAGAGCCTCTGGTGTTTTCCATTGAGTACCCCCTTGCCTCTGGCCGCTCACCCTTGGACTGGACAGGCTGTGTGTTTCAGCGACCCGGCTTCGTCCTGTGGGTCTTGGCCCGAGGCCCTCGTGGCTGCAGGGCGGACAGCAGGGCACATCTCGGCGCCTGCCTTAGGAGAGTCACAGACGCCAGGAATGTCCAGCCTCATGGTTTGAGCAGACCTGGCCTGTATTTCACCTCCAAATAAGGGTGTCAGCAATTTGGGGCACTTTTTAAAAATATGGTTTTATCTATTCTTTCTCTCGTTAGTAGCCCCATTCCAGATGATTTGAGGCCTCAGTCTCCTCGCTGCAGCTGTCACCCGTCACCCTACTTCAGAGCCACCCAGCTCTGCATGCTCCCTCCGAGTCCACCCCCAGAAGTAGGTGGTCCAGAACAGAGAGGAGAAAGTAGGAGAAACAGAGGGGCCCTTTCCTTTCAGACCAGAGCTGGTGGCCAGGGACTCACCTCCCGGTGGCTGGAGGCACCGCCCCAGGAGGCAGTGGTTCTCTGAGGCCCCTGGAAGCTCACTCATCTTCATTCGCCCTCCTCCCACCCCCACCTGCTGTCCCCACCTGCTGTCCCTACTCGGAACTTCAGAAAGAACTGGCCACAGCAGGGGCGCAGAGCAGAAGCGTGGGTAGCAGTGGGGCAGGGACTGTGGTCCTGAGGTCTGGGCTGCCCGACCAGAGTCCCTCGTGGTCTGGGAGCCCCGCCTACATGTGGCGCAGGGCAGCGCAGACACCCTGGGCCCGAGGGAGGCCCCAAGGTGTGTGGGCCTGTGTGGCCTTGAGGACTGCATTTTCCGCAAGGTTAGGTGTTCGCAAAGGACCAGCGAGGAGGGGTTTCATGTCAAGGAGGTTGGCTGAGCGCCACCCAGCGCCCTGCCCACGGGCCGCTGACCAGGCTCCGGAGGCAGCTCCCTGAGGGGAGCGGGTGAGCCTGCCCCTGCCTCCTGGGGCTGGCTGTCCCCACCAGTCCTGAGGACAGCAGGATCTGGGATCCAGGGAGGAGCGGGGCGCGTGCTCATAGCAGACCCCTCTGCACCTCCGTGCCCGACCTGCGCTGGGGAAGCGCGTCTCTGGGCTCCGGCAGAGCAGCGGGTCCGTGGCAGGCCTGCGCACGGCTCTGGGGTGCACCCCCGAGGCCATGCACACGGTGCTCGTGCATGTGCACTTGTTCTGGCGAGAGTCTGCCGTTCCCACCAGCCCCAGGGAAGCAAAGCAGCACTGCTTCCTAGAGGGAGAGGAAGGCGCTGCTTCTGACTGGCCGGGCCTGCTGTGAGAGAGAGAGCCACAGGACACCAAAGGCTCCGCACGGCCTCAGACCAAGGTCTCCAGCTCCCTCAGCAGGGCCTGGGACTCCCAAGCCCTGGGCCATTTCCAGCCCCATGTTCTCACAGTAGCTGTGAGCCCAAAACAAAGCTCAGCATCCTACAGGTAGTCGACACTCAGCAAATTCTTGTTGAACAGGTGTGGACTCTGACATGGCCACTGTGAGGGATGACGTCACAGCCCCGCATTCCCCGAGACCTGCAGACCCTGGCCTGTTGTGGCCACGTGGCAGTCCTCGTGGCGCCCAGTGGTCAGCTAGCTCCCTGCAGCTCTCCTGCCTGCCCCTCCCTACACTCGTTTCATCAAACCTGCTTCCCCTCGCGTTGGCGCAGTTTCGTTTTTCTGTTCTGCAAGATGGAGGCTTTTATTGAACGTCCCGCTGCAGGCTTGCTTTTGCTGCACTCTTGGTTCAGACAGTTGCCTTCTGGATACAACAAGGCTCCCAGGCTCGCTGGGATAGGCACCGGGTCTGACGCACAAAGACCTCCCACCCTGCCTCTCCCAACAGCTGCTATTTTGCTGGATATTTTAGTGGTTCAGCCGCTGGGAAAATCCTCCATCCTGCAGCCAGGGAGTCTGCACCGCTGCGGGCTACATTTTTAACAATTGCCAAGTTCCAGAAACCCCCGTTCATTGGTCCTTCACAGGACCACAAGGACTCTGGGCTTCCCTCCTGCCCCTTCACTCCTTGCCCACAGCGGCCCTGCAGAGCAGGGTTGGCACAGGCACATGGGACGCACCAGTGAACACAGCAGCCCAGGCCCACCTTCTTCATAGCACTCCCATTCAAGCACGGGAGACAAAAATGAATAATGGTGGTACGAAATGAGTAAATGACACAGTTATAAAGTGATAAGTGCTTTGAACAAAGTAGAGCAGGGCACATGGGAATGACGTAAACTCAGGTTAAGTTGAACTTCCTGACTTCATGGTTACGTGGCGTGTGTTGGGAGCTGTCCGGCCTCACCTACTCAGTCCAGCAACCCCACACGCGGTGCTTCTCCAGGCCCTGTGGCTGCGTTTGCTGGGTTTCTCCAGCCAAATATAGTAATGTCAGATGCTATTAATGGATCAGTAAAGAACATGTAACCCTGCAAACCAGCCAGACTAGGTAGGTCTCTCAGTTCTTCTCAGTATTTTTTATTCCTGGTACACAAAGAACATAGCATTTATTCAGCTACTTGGGTAAATGGTCAAGTTGCTCAGAGCCACAAAGCCATTGATATCTGCCTGTCCGAGGTCCCTGGGGTAGAACCTGTGGCAGTGCTTATCAAACTGTAGCACACCTTGGACTCACCTGGGGTGGTTAATATGCAGGCTTCTGAGCCACAGTGAGGACGTGGGGCAGGGCCCAGGGATCTTCTTTGTTAACAATTCTCCCAAATGATTCTGCGGCCGGTAGCCTTCTCAGCACACCTTGAGCTACACTGCTGTGCACCTTAGCAGAGGTGTGGTGAGTCACAGCACTTGTGTGCTTATGCTTGAAGTTGGGAGCTGCAGATAGAATGACGTAGGGCAGTGGTTCTCGGGCATGTATCAGAATCACTGCAGGGCTTGTTAGAACACGGGTTGGGGGGCTCACCGGGAGAGTGTCAGGGTGAGTCCGAGTATGTGCATTTCCAAACAGGCTCCCAGAAGACATTGATGGTGCTGGCCCAGGGGCCACATTTTGAGAACCACGAATATGCATCATTCAGGAAGCTTGTGTACCTTAGGAAGTTGGGTTTATGTGAGCTCGTTTCACAAGGACAAAGTTGGGGCTCATTTTGGGAAAGCTAAGACTAAACCCTGTTTAGTCAGAAAGCATCAGAAGAAGTAAATTTGAGAAACTGAATCAGAATAAATTTCCTTTTTGATAAAAGTCTGCTCTGTAAGTCATCTTACTTACATTGCACTCGGGTGAGTGGTGAGCTGGTGCATGCCTAACGACCCCTCCTCGGGGTGGGGTGGAGGGGCTGACTCACAGTGCTTGCCCATTTCAGTGGTGTGAATACCCACGTGGCTGTTGTCAAGCTGCCACCCTGAAGCCACTGAACATGGACTTGGGAAGGGACACTCCGGGTGAGCTCTCCCTAGCCCAGAGGGTCCAACCCTGGTCCGTGACTGTTCCAGCCATGGTAGGGGTCTGCGAGCTGTCTCCACCATCCAGGCAGTTCCAGTCCAGGTCCCAGGTTAGGGGCTGTTTCCATCTAAGCTTCAGTTGCCGACTGAGGAACCTTTCTCGGAATACATAAACCAAAACGGCTGCCTTTCCTGGGCCTGGCCTGCATGCTCACACGGCACAGGGCTTAGCCCGCAATGCCGGTGTGGGCCAGGACCAGGTGCAGGCCCTTCAGGAAGATCTCCTAACTCACACGTGCTCCAGAGTGTCAGTCCTCCAGGCCACACTCCGCACGCCGAGGGCACTGTGCCTCAGAGTGCACCGGAAGACTTAGTGGCCACATAAGCCCAACTCAGCTAAAGCCATCCCATGCTAAAGAAATCGTTTTTCAAGGTGACCCACCTTCTCAGACGAGTGAACAGAAAACATTGGAGGAATTTTTCTGTTCCAGAAAATAAAACAACAGAGAGAGCCAGACATTCCTCTTGAAGCAGAGCCCTGAGGGTCCTTTGCAGTCACAGGGAAGTATTTGAATATAGATGGTGCCAAGGGTGACAGTGGGTCTTGAGCCAAAAACCAAATTCAGCCCCATTTATCTCCTCGAGACCTGTCCACACACCTTTCTACCTGCCTCTTGCTCTAACTCAGTTCTGCTTTCTCTCTTCCTAACTTTCCCTCGTCTTTCCAGATGCAGGACGCTATGGGCTATGAGTTACCCTGGGTGTACTTTGTCAGTCTGGTCATCTTTGGATCCTTTTTCGTTCTAAATCTGGTTCTCGGTGTGTTGAGCGGGTAAGCTGACCGTTTCTACGTCCTCCTTACAGTGCAGCCGAGCAAGGTCTCAGGTCCCAGCAGACCATCGCCAGGATCCTCAGGGACAGGACCCTAACAGGCCCAGGAAAACCAGAAACAAAAGTCTCTATTCAACCACAAATCCTGACCCCGGCTGGGCAGGCTATCTGGCCTCTGATTGGCACCTGGAGGATCCGGCCGGCGCTGCTCGGGTCAGCGTCCCGGGCGCCGGTGAGGGGCGCTGGCCGTGCTCGGTTGCTGAGTGTGTCTCACTAACTATCATTCCGTTCTTCCAGGTCAATGATGCCGTAGGAAGGGACTGGCCCTGGATCTATTTTGTTACACTAATCATCATAGGGTCATTTTTTGTACTTAACTTGGTTCTCGGTGTTCTTAGCGGGTAAGCAGGACCAAGGAAAAAGGTCTTGATTTTTTCATTTATTTTTTATTTATTCTTTTTACTCTTCCTGGCTCTTCTTTTTCTGGCTCTTTTGAACCTTGGGTAAGGGGTCACCTTGGGAGCCTTGAAGTGAATGTCCTTGGCCTGGCTGGGTGAAGGTCAGACGCACAAGAGTGAACCCACTGGTTTGGGTGGTAGACAGGGGAGACACGTCTGGTCCTCTCTGTGTCCCGCCAGCTCATCCGACGCCTGCGCAGCCTCAGGCGGTCGTTCGGGTAGGCAGGATACGTCTGTTTGTGCCTTGCTGACATCCTTAGCTTGAGCGGGACCGGTGTGGCCACATGCATTTGAGGGGTTCATAGATGGGCACTGTCCACATACACGGCAGCCTGTGGGTAGGCACTTGCTTGCCCTCTTGAGCCAGTCACCACTTGTGGCAGGCTGACGGAAAAGATTTCACCTCACTGTTACCCAGTGGTGAGCCGACCGGGGTAAGAAGGGATTGGTTTCAAACACGAACAACAAATACAGGCTCAAAATCTAATTATTTTCAGTCCTGACTCCTGGACTGATCCGTCCATTTCTCGATTTCCTTTTCTGAATGGGAGGGACACTTACCTGTTGAAGGCCATAGGCTGCTTGAGAACAGAGATGGAATACACTTTCCTTTAAATTTACCTGGTCTACCTGATTCAGCCCGTATTCAGACGTAATCGTAAAAGTAGCATGTGGCTGGAGCGCCCGGTAGCCCCAGGTGGCCGCCTCTTGTCTGTGGAAAGGCACGGAGTGTGTCCTCAGTCCGCTCTCTTTGGAAGCGCGTCCGCCACGCCAAGGCCTGACACCCAAAGGCTCCTGGTGACCTGCTCCCGGCGACCCCTCTGTTGCCTTTGCTGCGGGGTGGGGCGGTCTCTCTCTGCTCTGCTTGGGACAGGTCAGCTGCTTTGAATGGCTGTTCCTAGAAATCTAGAGACCTTAATGCTGGGAGACATTTAAGCATAAGGAGAAAGGTTTCCCTTCACTGTCACTCGGTGTGCAAATGGGGCACAGCTACTCCACCTCCTGTGCAGTTTAATGCAGGGCAGGAGCACTGAGGTCACCTTTGGAATCAGTGAAGGGAAGAACCTGCCGCTGCCCTCACCCCTTCAAGTGGTGGGCAAGGTTAGAGACCCGGGTGGCATCGTGCCCTTTGCCAAGGTGAGGCCACACAGGACCAGTTCCCTCCATCAGGGATAGAAAAGGACAAGTAGAGCAATATAAGTTCCTGGTTAGTTGCCTGGAGGGCAGGGGGGTTTTCATTTTTATGTTCAAACACAAGAAAATGCCCCGTTTTATATGTGATTCTCCAAGGAAAGCATTGAAAAAACCGCCCCAATTTAAGAGAGAAACTTGAGTATCCCAGCTCTGCACTTGCTGGATGCATATTGTTGAACAACTTCACCTTTTTAAACCTTCCTTCCCCATCTGAAAAAAAATTAAGGCGATGAAACCAGCTCCAGGGCGTGTGACGTGAGATGGGCGTCTGTGTGAAGCACGCGGCGCGGTGACGCGCACGGTGCATGCTCTGTCGCCCTGCCACTGCAGCGACTGTTGTTCTTGGTGCCTATTGTAACCGGAACTATTGAATAGAATCATCGAATGTTATAACTATTCCAGCCTTTCCTTTCAAAGATGAGGAGTATATACTTAGACATGTTAAGTGACTTATACAGTGTCGCTTTGCTGGCAAGGAGCAGAGCCAGGGCCAGAGCTCGGCACAGCTCGGCTCCCGCCCTCCCGCCCTCCCAGCAGGCGTACATCGAATGAGGCTGAACAGCAACACAAGCCACAGCTTGAAACTTTTAGAAAATATAATTCCACTGTCTTCCCTAGAGATCAGGAACCAAATCTGAGCAAGTGAAGTTCTGTGCAGGAGTCTGACCCTGCGGGCTGGGTAGCAGAGCTGTGCCCATCATTCCTGTGCCCCCCACTGCAGGCGTGCTCCTCCCGTGGTGTCAAAGCAGAGGAGTCAAAGGACAGAAGCTGCTGCTGTTAGAGAAGAAGTCATTTTGAAGGCCATGGCCTGACTCCGTCCACATGAGACAGGTGTGTCAGTCCGTACACTGGTCTTTCCTGGAGACCTTCCCCAGCATCTGCTCATGGCAGCTCCAGAGTCACTGGTAGGACACCTGCCCAGAAGGGCAAAGAGGTGTCTCCGAGTGAGCACCTCCACTTCCTGGTTTAAGGAGGTCAAGGGCTGGCCACCCCGCCCCATGTAGTGACAGAAGCTGGAGTCGGGCTGCTGGTGGCTGAGCACGCTGTGGCAACAGTGTCGAGTCAGCCTCTTGATTAGCCAGGACAGTAGAGCAGCCACCACAACCGTGCAGTAAAACACCCACTCACTCCTCAGTCAGACTTCTGATTAAGCCAGCTTTGCAGAAGAATCCACAGACGTCTCAGAGCTCGATGGCACGAACAGTCACTCCCATTCTATGTGTCAGGCCCTGTGCTCGGTGCTGTAGCTGGATCGGCTGGGCTACGATCGGCTCCTGACTGCGCTCTGAGATAGGTGCGTTCCAGTCTCCATTCTACAGAGGAGAAAAGTGAGGTTTACTAGAGAAAACTACCTCAATTCTAACAGGTGGGAAGTGGATCCAGGGCTGAGCCCAAGCATCGTGAACCACAGCCTCTATCCCCAGCTCCACGTGGTGCTCTCCCCAAACCCACGGGGAAACGGGCCACTTCCCTGTTTTTAGAAGACAGGAAGTGGGGAGGGAAGAGCAGACCCTGCAGCGGCAGGGCGTGCACGCAGCGGCAAACACAGAAGCAATGCACAGCCGGCTCCTGGGGACAGCCAGTGGGACAGAAAGGGGCACCGCCTGGAAGCCTGCAGCAGGCCAGGGCTGCTTAGCATGGGTGCCGGCAGCCCCGCAAGCCTTCACGGTCTTTGGGAGGGCACAGAGCCACCAACTCAACAGCACTGCAGTTTGGGAGCCTGTGGGACTGGCGGTCACAAGTGTGAAGCCTGCATCCATCAGTCGGGGATAATAGTTTACAGCCCAGACAGCCTCATAACTCATCATAAATGGCGTCCTTCAGTTCCTGAGGAAGGCTGCATTGTGCTGGGTGTGTTCTTCTCACGAAGGTAAAGAAGATGACACTCTATAGCTTCCATTTAAAAGGTGGAAATTCAATGATTTTGGGTCATCAGAGGGCCAGGCCTCCTTTATCTGGAACATTCACATGTCCAGGACACCTTACATCTGATGAGGCCAGGTAGGGCTGGTATAATGAGCACACATCTCTTGGATTTTTTTCAAAATACTTCTGTGTTCATTATGTATTGATCCTCATATCAACCCTATGCAAGACACAGGATTGGCATTAGTATAAATGATAATCAGATCGCGGTTACTTTCTGCTCTAGTAATCTCAATCTCCAGCCTCCTAGAATTAGAATGATAATAGTGACCATGAGATTCTTGGAATTGCACTTGAAGCTGTAATGAGGGGAAAGTCTCTGGACTCTGGAATCGGTTACTTTTGTTTCAGTGGTTGCAGAGGGCTTCGGCTCTGTGCCTGGGTGGTGCGAGGCCCAGGCTGTCTCACAGGGGTAGACATGCCAGCATTTTTCCATTGGGAGATGGGTACGTCTCCTGCTCCCAAAAGGCAGACAACCAGACATTTTACGACCTGGAAGTATGACTGGGTCCTGGCACCACAGCTAAGACACAATATCCAGGTGCAGAAGAGAGCAGCGGAAGGATAGGACACAGATGCCTCACGGGCAGGAGTGGGCGTGACGACAGCGTCCCTAGTCGCCGCTCCTCATTCACGCCCAGTACAGTCACCAGGAGCCAGCACTGCATCAGTGAGCACTGAACTGCCAGTCCCAGGGAAATGCAGGGTCAGGTTCCGAAGCCTAGGGTCACAGCATTTTGTCAACCAATCAATACATAACCTTGTTTTATGGTGCTTCTGTTAAAGACACCTTATTTAATATGTACTGTTGACTCATTAACATGAAGCTCCTGGCCAGCACTTATAACTCACGCCTGAATGAAGCTTATAAACACAGACTATTCTCTGTAAGGCACAGGGCACGTCACAGCCTTCTTGTACTTAGGGAACTAGACAGTCGTTCAGCAGTATGCCTGGGGCTATTTAAAACAGTGAAATCACCAACAAAACACACAAAAATGCCAAAATCATGGCACTAAGTAGACCGTAAAAAGAACACTTGTTTACAGCCTGGAGCCAAAGCAAGAAGGCAGAGCATCACCTCGTTCGACCCCAGCTGGGAACTTTTGCCATCTGCACATGTCCACAGATGACTGTGAAAGTGCCCAAGCACCGACGCTGGGGCTATAAACAAATTCCAGTGAGTAGGTAAATTGGTAAATATGGATCGACTGTATTGATTATCGGAGGGCCTAGAGCCCAGCTATCTGCACTGATGGGATTTTCCACATGTACGCTTTGCATGACTGATCTCCAGCCCCTGGCTTTCCTGCAGCCCTCGTCATCAATGCTGGCCCTTGCTGGCGAGAGACACACTTCTGTCTTGTGATGAATCCCACCACTGTGACCGATTGTCTCCCCCGCTCCAGTCACTGAGCCCTTCAGGTTGGGCTCTTCATTAGCGCAGCCCCCAGGGCAGGCACGTGGCTGGCATCCAGGCAGGGAGGTACAGAGAACCAGCGCTGCCACCCACAAATTTCTCATCTAGCAGGGCCTGCCGAGGGGCCTTACTCGCCCCCCGTCCTGCCACCAGCCTGGTTGTGCGCTGTGCTCCGTGGGAGCCGGTGGCGCTCAGATCTGACTGTGCCACTCCTCCATCCCTCTCAGCCCCATAGCTGTCCTTCCTCTGCAAGAGAAGCCGTCTTCAGGCCAGTCAGAATCATCAGCATGCCTCCTCTTCTCTCCTCTTGCTGTTTGTTTTAGCTCCCCATGGGCCTAGGGGTATAGATGGTGAGCTTTCAGCCCATGGGGGGCGGGGTGCTATAAAACAGGACAGGGCCAGGTGGATCCCAGCTCTGTTCTCCCAACTCCAAAAGAAGTATGGGTAGGTGTGTTGTAACCAGAACGTGAACCCTCTGCAAAATCATCCAAAAGAACTCAAATGAGCCATTGGCTATTTAGTCCCTTGCAGCCTCAAACCCACTCCAGAGGAAAGGAACAGAGAATGCAAATGGGTGTAGGCAGAAAGGCAGTCAAACACAGGGCTCTTGAAACACAGTTTTGGTGTTGGTTTGCAGAGGGAGGGAAATGCTATAGGAAGTTACTGTCTCCAAGGAGCAAGGCCAGGGCCCTGAGAGGCCAGACCAGGTCCAGGGAATAAGAGGTTTGGGCATCTTTCCGTGCCCAGCCCCGACAGTGAGAGCAGCGGGGGGCAAAGCAGCACAAGGCCTCTGTCTCCTTTGTGAGCTGTCAGTCGGCCCCTCTTCCCTGGCATAAAACTCCCCGGGTAGGAAATGAAGGTACTCAGTTGGCAGGATGCCTGAAAAACAGCAAGTTCAATCCAATTGGAATTGGATTCAATCAGATTTAAGAAGAAAATTCAATCCAGCCCAGAGCATCATTAAGGCAACAGTAAAAGAGAACTCGTTAGCTTATAGCCCCCACATTCTGCCAATTACAAAGTTCCCTAGACCCCGCCCTAGCCCCATTTCACCATAGAAATGGTGTGTGCTGAAATCTGTACCCTCCTGAGCGGCACAGGCAGAACGCAAATGCTGGATGGCGTGTGGTGATACAGCCGTGCCACATGACAGTGGGCTTCGTGGAGCTCTCGTCCCCTGTGGTTTATTGCTGCTGTGCTTCCTGCCACAGCACTTTCCTTAGTGCAGCCTGTGCAGGAAATTCTTCCAGGTGATCTCAGCAGCCTCTCCTCCCTGAACTGAGCCTTCACTGGTGAGAGGAGGAGGGGTCGAGGCTCCAGGAGTTAGCCCGGAGGCCCATGCATGCACACACACTCACACACCCAAGGGGCACTCCCCGCGGCCTGCACAGTGAAGACAAACCCTCCGATCGGCCTCTTCTGGAAGAAAAGGCACAGACTGGCTTCGAGAGTTGAGAACGCACCTTGTTCGTGACTGCTTTCTGCTGCCAGCCCCTTCCTTGCCAGAAAATGAATTTGAAGTCAGAAAATTAGGACAGAATCATAGAAAATAGAAAAAAAATAGTCATTCTGTCAAAACTTTTTCAATAGGCCCTTCTTCCAACAAATCCCAAAGTAATTCCAAATTCTACTTATTATTACTTTAAACTGAATGTATCATTTAATTTCTATATCATCTTGATTTTATGTATTCTTCTATTGATTAGATTTTTTTTTTTTTTTTATCAAAAGAGCAGGCCCTGGGACATTTTCTTGTGTTTGAAATCCTCATTTGTCTCCATGTGGGCAAGAGCCTTCTCTACTTTAGAAACCCTTCCAGGCATGCCAAGAGCGGCAGGTTGAGCTCTAGCAGCAGGAACAGTGACTGAGCAGGTTACCTCTCCTGGTCCTCAGCCAGTGGCGTGCAGGTGACTGTTCGTAGTCGGCTCTAGGGAAGCCCTGGTTCCCAGCACCTATTTGCCAGTTACTGTGGTGTCAACACTCCCACCGTGGCCGGGCTCAAGCTCCCCACGAGACATCTCTGAAGCCGGAGTTGGGAAGAGACACGTTAGCCGCTGGCTCTCAGGACCCAGTGCAGCGAGTGGGCTTGGACACACTGCCCACCCAACACCTGGAGTCCCCTGTACACTCCTGCGGGGTTTCTTAGTTACCACCCGGTCTGGGTGGGACGAAAATGCAGCTTCTGTAACTGTTGTGGGCATTTTCAGTTCCATCTGGAAAGGTTTGCAGGCCCTTGGAGAACACTTGTTACTGAAAGGCAAAGCCAGGAAGAGGACGATGGACTTTATCCGCCCCTCAGACTCTCGCAGCCTGTGTCAGGGGTGTCCCCTTCGTGCTGCTTTCTGTGCGAGGGCGACTGGGCTGCTGGGGAGCTGTGCGCGGGCATGTTTCTGGGCGCAAAGTGGCTAACACTGTTTCTCCCTATCTCCCTCTCCTCCCACGGCCCTCTTGCCGCTCCCCTTCCCTGCCTGCTCCTCCCGCTCTCGCCAGAGAGTTTTCCAAAGAGAGGGAGAAGGCCAAGGCCCGGGGAGACTTCCAGAAGCTGCGGGAGAAGCAGCAGCTGGAAGAGGATCTCAAAGGCTACCTGGACTGGATCACCCAGGCAGAAGACATCGACCCCGAGAACGAGGACGAAGGCATGGATGAGGAGAAGCCGCGAAACAGTGAGCAGCTGTCTTCTGTCTTTGGGCTGGGTTCTGGGGCGGGACAACACCCAAGTCGGCTGGAGACTTTGCCAGCCTTTCTGTACAGCCCAGGCTCTGTCCCCTGAAGCAGCGTCCTCTCAGTGATCACAGTCACAGCTGCTCATGGAAGTTAGTCACACGAGAGAAATCGTTGCTGCTGCTCTGTAAAACCACATATTCTTCTCAGAATCTTTGTCCTTACAAGACAGTTGAGAGTTTGCTAAGGTGAAGCCTTTTTTTAAATCAAACATCTTCCTCCTCCTCCTCCTCCTCCTCCTCCTCCTCCTCCTCCTCCTCCCCCTCCCCCCTCCCCTCCTCCTCCCCCCCCCTTCTCCAGGCTCCATCTCTTTGGGCAGGGGAGCAGGCTTCCTGCTCCAGGCTAGTTTGAAAGGAACAGTTTCTCCCAAACAGTCACTTGGAAAACTTCATGCCTGCGTGGGGTTCTCCCCACCTTCGCAGCAGACTTCCAGGCACTGTTGAACTTCCTCATGGGAGAGGGAAGCAAAGCTTTCTTCTAAGGAAGGTGGATTCCGAGGTCTGGGGAAGACCAGAGGGGTTGACAGAAGAGTCAGATTATAGAAATTGAGCCAGATCCCCTCTTCTGGGGTTTCCCAGGGCAGATGGTTGGGCAGGCTACTGCTGGGATGGAAATGGGTGATAGAGGATATTGACTTGCAGAGTATCAAAGATGATGAACCATGGAAATTCAGGCTCTCATCAGATCAGCCCGGTGGTTCTCAAAGTGTGGTCCCTGGACCAGCAGCGTCACATGAGAAAACTCTGGGATGGGGCCCCAGGGGTTGGGGATGCATGAATTTGAGAACCGCTGTCTGAGCTCTGCCTACTCTGTGTGTCTCGCTGGGCCCTGATCTCTGTGACTCTTTGTCCCTCTTTCTGTGTGCAGTATCTCTCTCTTTCTTTTCACAAGTTGGCATAGGTGCACTTCTGTCCTCTCAAGCAGCCTAACCAAACACTAGGTTCCTAAAGGTTGAGCATCTAGAGTAGTCGAGGAACCAAACAGGTTAAAGAGCTTACCAGGGTGTTTTTACAAAACAGGGAGCCGGCACTTCTCCCTAAGCAGAGAGGGCGATGCAGAGACCCCCAAGGGCAGGAACAGGTGGAGAAAGAGGGAGAATGCAGCCAAGATGTTCGCAAAGAACAGAATCTCTGCTCTCTCATTTCAAAGATTAAGTTAATGAATCCATCAACTTCTCCCTTTCTGATAACTACTCAAGGCACAAATACAAAATTAAGGCACACCAACCACAAGGGGCTGGTGACAACATAACTCAGTGACCTAAGGGGGCCTTCATGCTTTGCTAAGTAGCTTTGCAAGCTGGAAGTTGGGGCCTTTGATGGATTATAACAATGAGCAATGATGCCATTGAGGGTCTTTCTGGAAAAATGCCTGACAGCTTCTATTACACTGTTGATGCAACTGCAGAGTAGCTGATTAGTTTGTGGGATGGAGTGGTATGGCAAATAAATAAACTGGCCCATGAGCCATAGAGAAGCCTACCTCTAAACACAGGAATTCTGTCCTGGCCCCTTGCTCCACCTTAAGCTAGAGTGGAGCCCCTAGCTCGTGATTAATGGTGATAGGCATGTTTCTTAGCATGTGTCATTAAAAATGTGCAATATCCACCTTGTCCTTAGCAGCCAATTGCCATCCACAGAGACATGGCTATTCTGTTCTCTGCCTGAAGCAAGAGCAGCCAAGGGGAAGTGTGCTGCTTCTCTGCATCACCCATTATATGGATAATTTCCAAGGAGAGTTCCCAGCGTGGAGGATTCTTTGCCCCTGAGCAGATCACATTGCCAAGGCCCATCTCCCCACACTCTGGTCAGGCTTTGGGAAGAGCATAATGAATTGCCTACCCTAGTAGGCAGAGTCTCTGTCAAGGTTGTCATAAGCCCAACTGTGGATGAAGCCAGACTGTTGTCCCTCTCACCTTGCAGCTCTTCCTGGTGGCTGGAGGAGCAAGGGGTCTGCCTCTTGTCCCTTGGGGACTGGAACGGAGCCTGGCTCCTTCACTAGTGGAAATGCGGGTGGGACAGTTCCACAGGGATGGGAATAGGATGTAAATACCCAAAGCAGCAAGGTGCAGAGAGTAAAAGACATGTGTGAGACTTAGGAACAGAGCCAGGATGAGAGTCCAAAGGACCACGTCTACTGGGGACATCCAATCAAAAGTAAAGTTCAAGTGGTTAAATGATTAAGGACTTGGAGTCCTAAGAGCCTTGCAAAAGAGGAGATTCTGTGGCTGGGAAACTATGTTCTTATATTCAGGACTTCATAGTTTGCCCTTTGAAACAAACACAAGGGGAGAACTGTGCAAATTGAAATGTGTGTTTCAGTTAGCCTAGTAGTTCAGCCTTTGAAGTTTCTAAAAGATTACAGCATGGGATATTCACCAGTTCTTTTCAGCTCAAAAACTGAGTAGTCCTTTAAGACAAAAGGCCGATTGCTTTGGTCGGCGGCTCTGGTGCTGCTTCTGCCCCGGCAGTGCCCCGCGGCCCAGGCATGGTGCCCAAGAGGTGGAGCTGGGTGCTATGTGGGAAAGCTCCCAACACATCACTGCGTGGTCGCCAAGCACCCCTAAGGAGAGCCAGCCAATTGCCTTCCCTGGGGGAAAAAGCCACCATGGAAGTGGAGGAAACGGGCGAGAGGATACTAGAAAGTGCATGGTAGGGAGGGGCTTCTCTAAACAGAGTAACTGAGGTGGCCAGTAAGTCATATACAAAAATATATCCCAGCTCGTCCGTACATCCGCCCACAAGTGAAAGGTCTGCTCTCTGCCGGGCACTGCTCTCGGCCCTGGTGATTCAGCTATGAGCAAAGGAGTCAGGGTCCCTGCCTCGTGCAGCCGAGCGCGGCGGTAGTCTAGTCAGAGCGGGGAGCGCCCCGGAGGAATGAAACAGCAGTGCGGCGGCATTGTACTAACAACCTGCAGGTGGTTAGGAGAGGAACCTGTGGATGTTTGGGGAAAGAGACTTCCAGGCAGGGGAAGCTGAGGAGAAGGCCGCAGGGCGGTGCAGCGGGAGAGGGTGCGGCCGAGGGAAGGGCGGGGGCGGCCAGGGCCCGGGCGACCGCGCGTGCTGCCCTGAGCACCCGGACTCCTCCCGGAGCAGGCCGGCCGCCTCCGGAGGTCGAGCGAGCGGCGCAGTGCGCCCTGACCTGACGGACGCGAGCAGAAGGAAGGAGGTGGGCGAGGAGAGCGGGCCCTGGCAGGAGCGCTGGGCCTCGCCGCGGCACCGGTGAGGCAGGTCAGACTCCAGGATGACGGCACCTGCAGACGTCTCAGATGTGGGGTGTGCGAGAGGAGCTGCTCCAAGGCCATTGTCCTGTGCGCCAGCAAGAGTGGAACTGTCCTTTACTGATGTGGGGACACTGAGAGGAGAGGTGTCAGGGCAGGAGCCCACGAAAGCCACGTCCTGCCTGTGAGCCCGGGACGCCGCCAGACGTCCAACTGGAGACGCTGGGCAGCAGCGGGGGACAGAGCTGAGTCCAGGGCAGAGATCTGGGAGCGAATCACTGGGGAGTCAGCAACATACAGAAGATACCTAGCCGCTTTGACTGGACAAGATCACTAGGGAGTGAGTGTGGGCAGAAATAAGATGAGGTCCGAGAACTGAGACCTGACCTCCCAGGGTGTGGAAACCGGCGTGGCGAGGAAGAGCCAGCAGAAGAGACTCGGAAAGGCGCGGTCCGAGAGGGAGATGCAAAGGAGGGGTGCCAGCGCTGCTCCAGGACGGAAGCTGGCCACTGCACGCGCGGTGAGCTCACTGGTGCCCTGACGAGGGCTGTTTGGTAGGACGGTGGGGGCAAAAGCTTAACAGTAAACCAGAGTCTTACTTTGTGAGTCCCTTGAATCCGTAAGCTTCCTGGAATGGCACTGAGCATTGCTCTGCGTGCTTCCCACTTTGCTGGCGTGGCCTAGCTGTCAGCGATCTGGGCAGTTTGGCCACCAGGAAACCAGAAAGGAGAGAGAGGAGACTTACCTCCTCACTCCAACAGGCCTGTGGCCCCACGGAGGTCAGGGTCTAATGCCCAGCCCTTCATTTTGCAGTGGTTACAGACGGCCTTGGAGTAAAGGAAATGATACACAAGAGCTATTTCAGGGCCAAAAAGGCAGCAAACAAGCAAGAAGGGGCATGTATATGCACTGTTGCCCTGCATGCAGCCTCCAAAGCCCTCTCCTCACTGGGCAAAGATGAGGGTAACATTGAGGCCTCTCCTTCTGGCCGCTGCTTCTCCTTCCCCTGCAAGCAGCCGTGGGCACCCCTTTTAAAGGCCTAGTTGCAAAGGATGGGGTGGTTGTCATGTCTGCATGGGGTGGTTGTCCTCAGTAGAGATGGTTGTCGGTAGAGATGGTTGTCATCAGTAAAGATGCACTGCTCCCAGGGACAGGGTCCGTCGTCCAACTCCGACATCAAAGATGATGGAAGGCCAGACATTAGAGGAAGAAGCCATATAGTAAGAGAAAGAGTAGGGGTTTTCTTCCCACTTTCCCACCCTCAAGATCAAAAAAATGCATTTATTAAGTATTCACTCATGTGGGAATCGCTCTCTCATGTCATTAACATGGTTTAAATGCAGCCCCAGCCCTCCAAAGCTTGTGGTCTAAGATAGGCGTTTTTGTGGACAAGCATATAAAGACAGAAAGATGGTGGAACCCAAACAGTGCATTTCCACCCAGATAAGCAGGATTAAATATTTACACTCGTGGTGCTCATTTATGTGACTCAGGAGCCACTAGTGCAATCATCACTAACCAGCAGAGCCACAGGGCTGCGCCTGCCCTGCAGTCTGGACCACGTGTTACTGAGATGCAGAAATGTGAGGGCTCGTGAGGGCGGCAGCTGCCCACAAAAGGGCCCCGTGTGGCCGGAAAGCAGTGTTCTGAATGTCGGCGATTTATATTGTATACGTCTCAAGGACATGTACATAGTAATTTGCTTTTTCAAAAAAATTGATC